AGAGAGCGAGAGAGAAATGATTGTAAAATTAAAACCTTGGGCCAGGTACAGTGGCTCCTGCCTTTAATCCCAGCATTCTGGGAGGCCAATGCAGGTGGATTGCTTGAGCTAGACCGAGATCCCATCTCTAAAAATAGCCATGCATTGTGGCAGGAACCTGTAGTGCCAGCTACTCAGGAGGCTGAGGCAAGAGACTCATGTGAGCCCAGGAGTTGAGATTGCTGTGAGCTATGATGTCACAGCACTGTACTGATGTCACTGACATAGTGAGACTCTGTCTCAAATAAATAAATAAAAAATAAAAACCTAAGATAAAAACTGTATACCATATGCTCTCAGTGGTTTACGTCTTAGCAAGCAAAGGCAGTCTTTCACTATTAATAGATTTAATGTCTCTGGTAGGTTGAAGAGAGATACACCTTGATATTTTGGATTAAAAAGTATTTTTAAATATAGTACGAAGTACATGCACATTTTAGAATTTCTTGTACTAAAGAGTTCTACACACGAAGTTCTACACACTCTTGTACTAAAGAGTAAATCTACACACGAAGACAATATGATGTTACAGTTTGTTAATGCTATGCATATACTTGTAATAAATTTTCTTAATTCTTTTGTATTTCAGAGAAAGAGTTTTAAAGAAAACTGGGCACAGTCTCAGCAAAACCAAACAAAAGAGAAAAAGAAATCGAAACAAAAAGCAGAACACTCAGTGTAAAATTATGGAGGAGAACTCATTTAAAATCTTAAGTTACCATAAACCAGATGATCAGGACCCATCTCAGAGTGAAGAGGAAGAGATCAAAAGAGAATCAAAAGAGCATCCTTTCACTGGTGGTCTACAAAATGAAGTGGGAGATTCCGTGAATGGCTATAAGGAAAATGGATGGAAAACTGTAGATCCTGAAGACAGTTTTCCAAATGTTATGTCTAGAGTTGATTTGGAGTGTATACCAAAGAATTACCTCTGTAAAGAAGGCGATGACTGGTTTCTAAGTGTGTCATCAATGCCAAATAAATGCTCTGTTACTTGTGCAGGATTGACTCAAAATCATTCCTGTAACACAAGTGATGACTGCTCTGGTGTGAAGGTAGCAAAGCATATTGGAAATAGGCATATCAGAGCATTAGGCATCCAGGACCTATTTGCTGAAACCCCTCTCTCTTTTATGAAGAAAAAAGAGATGATAGATAAAAGTATTCCAGATGAACCAATGCTGTGCCATCAACATGGATCCAGAACTTCAGATAAACTTTTAAGAGAGGAGCAAAGACTACAAGAAACTAAAAACAGTGATTGGGCTTTTTTCACAGCCAGTTTGTCTGATGAAGAATTACAGCTGGGCTTTGATAGTCAACCCTACTTTGCTGGCTGGCCTGAGGGACCTCATAAGTTTGTATGTGAACAGAGATCAAAGAAAGATAGATCATGTAAGTTGGCCTGTCCAGATGGCAGGGAGCAATTGATTTCATTGATCTCCACTTCTGTAGGAACATCAGGAGCAGGAAGCACTTCAGGAAGCACGATGGAGGAGAAGCTACTGATAGAAAATGAAGATTTTTCACCTCCGCCTGAAACTATAGATTCATTCGCAGAAACAGAAACACCTATCTTTAAAAGCTGCTTACCCCAACCAGATGTGCCAGAGAGTGTCTTACAATCAACAAAGAATAAGAAACAGAGGCAGAAAAGGATTTTCAATTTGGCACCAAACTTTAACTTACTGGGACAGAACCATATTAATGCAAAAGAAAGGGAGGAACATGATGTGTTAATAGAAAACCATGGACTAGAAATTATTTTGGGAGATGAAAAAGGTAGAATTTTAGAAATAAACAATGAAAGGATGAATAAACAAAAGCTTACGACCTTTGATTATCATCCATCAAGGTTTTACTTTCATTTTATGGAAGTTCCCCCTCTATTTATTGGTGGACAATTTTATTCTTATTGCCTGTCATTTAACAAACTAAGGCACTCTGCCTGTTTTTGTAAAAACGCTGCTCCCTCTCTTGTGCTGCGCTATATATCTAGCTTCTGGAAGGTCTTGTCTACAAGCAAGAAACCATGTTTGACTTTTAGACCTCAGACAAGACTAGCTAATAAACTAGATGACGTAGGTTCTCTTTCTTCAGAAATTCTAAGTAACCAGCCTGATACTTTGTGCTCTTTGAGGGCCACTTCTGATCTTCACTTTTTGAATGAAAGGTTTGATGAAAAGCTGAAGAGGTGGAAGGAACCTAAGTACTTACTGACTGAAGATAACCAAGATTTAATAAACACTGACTCTATTTCCCTTGGGCTACTGTTATCACAAGAGTTTGCCTCTCAACTAGTAAAACTTTTTGGATCTCCTGGAGTTCCAATAGGTGAATTTTTTTTTTCCCATAAAAAGATCTAGTGTAACAGAAGCAAGACATTTTTGAGGTGTTGGTGATTACCTTGTGTTGGTAATCTCATGTAGTTTATTGATCTCGTGGTGCTTCCCAGCAATTGAAGTGAGGCCCCATAGCAAATAGTACTAGATCTTCAAAGCCCCCACCCCTTGCCACCAATAGTGTCCTTAAAAGTCTTTGAGTATGTAGAATAATTTTAACTCTGAGTTTCAAAGACACTGGGAAGAACGAAGGATGAGCTGGCAAAGTGAGTATGTAACGAACAGAGACGGGTGGCCTTTTTCTTTAAATCTTTCAATCTTTCCCTTGTTTGGCACATGACTCTTTCCTTTCTCATTCACAGTTACCAAGTCTGAGATACATAACTAGTAAGGGAGGATGGCAAAGGCTAAATGATGAAAAGATACCTGAAACAGTCGAATTTGTTTTTTAAAGGCAACTTGAGAAGGAAGTGGGAGAGATTAGGAGGGAATAGACGAGTTGACCACTAGTCTTAAGATATCTGGAAATGAAAAATCTGCATGCAAATAAAACAAGAAAAAATGTGATTTTTAAATATTCTAAATAAATTTCATATCAATAATAAGCATACCTAAAATATGACATGCCTATTAGCATATCTAAAATGCTAAATATCTTAAAGAAGAAACAGAGCATATACCCCAGCTTTTCCTTATCTGTCACATGGCTGATACTTCCTGGTACTCTTTTTTTTTTTTTTTTTTTTGAGACGGGGCCTCAAGCTATCCCCCTGGGTAGAGTGCCGTGGCATCACAGCTCACAGCAACCTCCAACTCCTGGGCTCAAGCGAGT